CTCTTCCCTCCTCCCCTACAACCTCCCCCTACAGCCCGCAAGTGCCTGAGGAAGTTGTGAGATTCCCCACCCCCCTCTGTTTGCAAAAGCCGATTTCTGGGGTTGTGGCTTTTAACATGCACAAACGGCTCTAATTTAGTCATTTATTTAGTTGACATATTTATTTGGGATGTTCCTTTGCTTCAGTTAAAGATCCTGTGACCAGTGCCCCAGGCGTGCTCAGCAGTACGTGAATGAACAAGATCCATCAATTACTCTTGATCAGATCAAACCGGCCGAGGAAAACTCACATAACTCATCTCCCTGCACAGGCTCGGCTGGAGCCGCACGGCTTTGCAACTCAGCCTTCCCTGTCTGAGGGGCACGTCGTAGCTCCCCTGTGAACACACTGGGGTCGGCACAGTGTGGGAGAAACAGCTTTCCAAATCCTAGGGTCCTGCTGTCCCTTCAGGCAGTCCACCTCCCTTACCGGTGCCGTTTTGTTTTGTGAGCCCTATTCTGGCAGCTCGCCGTAGGAAGGGAGAGGTTAAATACGTGTGCTCGCAGCTCTGGCTGCTGGTGCTCCGACCCATAGTAAGACACTGTGCAGCACCTTGCATCTTCAGAGTTGTGACTGCTCTCTTCTTCCAAGCACCTGCTTGGAAAACAGCCTCTGCTTTCTTAGCCCTAAAACGTTGGTCCTGCAGCATTACTACCCCAAAAATGAATGCATTGGTGCTTCTTTCCCTCCCTCGCGTCTCATTCGGTGTTTTAACTGTAAAGGCTGAATGGAAAAGCACCAGGGCATGACAGGTGAACTGTCAGTCCTTCTGTCTGCCTGGTAAGCCGCTGGCTGAGCGGGATGGTTTGCAGAGATTTGTGATGAGTTCACTTAGCTAAGGACAGCCCGAATGCTCCAGTCGTGTTTGTCTGTTAGCCACTGTGGAGAAGAGCTGCATGCTGCACTTGCACGCAGCTCCTGTTGAAACTGTTCAGTCTGAAAGGTGCCAGCAGCCTGGATGTGGCTGGAGGTATATACGTCTTCAGCCAAGCTGTGCTCTCGTGAGATTTTTTTGCCAAGAGCTACAGTCCTTCTGATGTGCAGCATGTTACAGCAGACTTGAAGGTCTCTTCCATCTCGGAACAAAATGCACTTAAGAAAACAGAGTTTGTGTTGTCAGGACACTGATTGAATCAAACCTGCTCTCTCTTCTCTCTTACAGGTTACCAGGACAATGCCAGTACTTAGGGCTGCCGGTTGCTGATTACTTCAAACAGTGGATTAATCTGAAAAAGGTACTTTTGTGCAAACTGCCATAGTCCCCGTCTCCCTCTCTCCCCCCTCCCCTTGTCCTTCTCGTTTCCGCTTTAAGGAGGTGTCTAATAACTACTGCTGTTTTGCATTGAAATGAGTTATTTTCTCAGAAGCTGGGCTGAGCGAGTCCTCCAGTTCCCTATTGTATCTCCCCTAATAGAGTCTTACTGTACTTGATGGGATGTGTTCTGCAGCTGGGGAGAATCCCATTGTGGCAGGCACAGTGCGGTGTCTCCGCATAATAGTGGGACACTGTGAGGCCCCTCTTCAGCGAAGGTTGTGCTGGCCCCAGTGTTGCTGACTCTGTTTTGTTTTGCAGCCGTATAAGACTCCTAGGAGCTTGGTTCCCTTCAGATCAAATTCTGGTTGATAATCATGTGGAAATATTCCCAAATAAAAATCAGTATTTCCATTTGTGCTGTGGGGAAGGGGAGCTGTCTCAGCAGCACGTCCACCTAAGAAACCAGTGGTCACTTTGCAAAGCAAAATACCTTGGACTTTACTGTCTGGTGCCTTGTGTTGTTCCACGCATTCTCTGGGTTGTTAAAGAGCAGCCTGCTGTGCATCCACAGGGTCTCCTGGCACAGCTGCTCCATCCGCACAGAAAAATGTGGTGATGCCATAAGCCGCAAATCAAAGTGGGAAGAAAAGAACAAGTGTGATTACAAGCAGTAGTGGGGTGAGGGGGGAGGCTGGGGTCTGTGCACAAGAGAAACTGGGGTAGCTCTCCTGGTTAAACCTTTGGATGAGTAAGATTCCCTTCCTCCATCCAATTTAATGTTTTATTTGGGTTTCTGCACCTTTTCCTGATAATTAGGGGTCTCGGTAAGTGGAATTTGCTTGTAAACAGCTCGTTGTACTTGTGGGCTTTTCTTTTGTTCTTTTATTTATTTATTGTTTTAAATGGAAGCATGAGTGACAGGCTGAGCGGCCGCAGAAGGACAATTTGCATGATCTGTTCCGTCAAATAGGGTAGAACATGAACTTAACAAGGGATGCTGGCAGCACATTCCTGGCTGAACTTGTCAAAGGGTCTTGTATTTCCCTGCTGTCAGAGCAAATCTTTTGGCTGATTGCTGGTCCTTGGTAAATGAAATCTGAAAGCACATTGGGGCATTCTGCAGTTCAGTGACCATTAATGATCGCCATTTGAAGTTCACTAAACTTCCGGTGAATGGATAGCAGCTATATAACCAGCAGGTTGATGGCTGCAGAATAATAATATTAAAAAAAAAAAAAAAATCATCCCTATGTACCGTGATGTTTGCTAAGAAGTAGGTTGATCTAGCCGTGCTCTTCCACTGGGCCTCAGGATGAATACGGCTCTTTCCCATAGTTCGAGGCTCTTGGATTTAGCGTGTTAGGAGCTGTGATTCATCATAACATGAACATCCAGGCAAGTGGCTGTTCTTCAAGATGGGCGTTCATGTATTGGGCTTCAGTAAATACTGTGATACTAAGTTGAGGGCTGGTGAGCATCCGTGAAGTACCAAGCACAGAGCTAAAGGCAGGAGGAGGAGGGAAGCTGTTGCAGTCAAGTCTTCCCCTGCCCAGCTCTCTGAAGGGGTAGCAGGCTGCGCATGTAGGATGGGGGCATGTGGGTTGGGGTTGTCCTCCTCTGCAGATGTGTTACTCAGAAAGTAAGGCTCTGATCTCCCTCAGATCACATGGGGAGGGGACGTGTGGGAGAAATGTTTATGTTCCTCCAACCCCTCTAATCCCTTAAAAATCTGTAGTTTTTCTCACTCTCTAATATCTGATGCCCTGTGACACACAGGTTGGTTCCAGGGTTCCTGCGCCCCTCTGGGAAGTGACTCAGGTTGAAGAGGAGAGCAAGGACCTCTTCTGTCCTGTGGCTACAGAGCTGCCTCCCCTGGGGCTTGCGCTTACCCCAGGGTGAGGATCTTTCCATGCCACTCACTGCCCCGCTCTCTGGGGGTGCTTGTGGGGGAACTGCCTGTGTGTTTTCACGAGAGAGGATTTCCAGCCTAGATAAATAATTCTTCCCAAGCAGATGGACCCAATGGGACCTCAGTCTCTTTTGAGTGAGCTCCCAGTGAGAGACATAAGGATGGACAGGTATCTAGCCCCTGGATCTTCCCTGCATAGGTCAGGTGGCCCCTTTTCCCCTCCCTCTGGCACGTTCCTGACTTAGAAGTACCTTCTAGGCTGAGTCTGCCTCTGACCTGATCCATGAAGTGAAGGTGTTTGGAGCGGTGGTGTGAAACTGGTAATTTCTAGGTCATGGATAATGCAGAGACTTGCATGTTTCAGATGTCGATAAAACAGTTCATGTGAGTGTAAATGGCATGTGTGACCGAGAGCAGTCTCCTGCAGGATGGCCCCACCTGCATCTGCTGTCTGTCCTTTGGGTCTCTGCTTGTGAGCAGTGATACCAAGAGGACCCTACTGAGTTAGGGAACTGCTGCTGCAAATACAAGGCAATGCAAAAGAGTGGGATTAGATATGGAAAGGTGTGTTCATGAAGCAAGTGTGTTTGTGTACCTGTGTGTAGTGCAGTAGCAACAAAATATGTTCCAGATTCCCTCTGCCCATGCACACATGGCTTCAGCTCCTCTTTGTCTCTGTTTTGTATCATCTGAAGAAACAGTCCTTGTCTGCGCTGCCTCCGCCAAAGCACAGGATATTCCAGAGCTCAGCAGTCCCGCTTCCCGAGGTGGCGAGACAGTCTTTCCCAGGATTCATTCTCCAGTAAGCTTCTTCCCTTGTCGCTTCTGTGCTGCAGGAGCAGTTGAGGTGAGCACCCTGTGCCTCCAGGCCTCTTTCAGAGTATCCAAGACATGCCTCTCGAGCAAGCTGAAGATGGGAATAAGTCCCCGCTAGCTGCCATGCTTGCGTTGCCCCGTGCAAACCTTTTTGGATTGATATGGCCATGCAGGTGGTGGTGAGCTCCACACTTGACTGCTGTGATGGTGGCCAGAGTGTCTTGGGATCTGTGAAAAAGCCTTCTGTGGAGGACAAAATGAGAAAAGCTGCCTGTGCACTTGACCGCTTTTGCTGAAGTTTTACCTTGCCCTATGCCCCCCCCAGCCTGCTAATGCATCCCTTCCATCAAGCCTGATCGGTGTTTGCTGACATTTTTAATGTCACTGAGCGATCTTGTATCTGTGGTGAACTGTCAGTGTAGAGCTGACTTGGGGCAGAGAGTTTATCATGTTCTTCACTTTGATTAGCTCAGCCTTGTGGGAGGGCAGCAGCAAGCAGAGGAGGCTTTCTTTGAATGCTGCAACATTTCAGATATCCCCCTAAACCATCTCGATAGAGAGCCACCATCCCATCTGCCAGTTCTCCTTATGTTCCTGTCATGTTGATCCACAGAGGCCCCGTGGGTTAGGACTGAGGTGCAGCACCTGAGCTACATCGTTGGAGCTGGATGCTCAGGATGTAAATAGCAGAGAGCGCTTCACATCAGCAGCTAGGGGCACCAGTGGAGAAATATGTGCAGAAAGCAGGAGGCTGTGGGTCAAGATTTATGTGAAAAGGAAAGCTGCTGCAGCTAACAAGTTACAACCAAGCTGCTGCCCCAAGTGTATCCTCAGGTAGCCTGAATAAATTCATTAGTGCTTATTCTAACACAAGGATCAGCTCTCGTTCGTGCTTCCTTTGCTCTTTTGGGAGCCTCTGTGGTTTATCGTTCCAGGTCCCACTTGAGTTAGCAGCATGGTCAGTCCCGTGATGGATCCTCACCCTGCAGGGATGGAGCCAGTGCTGTGTTAGGCCAAGGACACGGTGCCTGCGATCACAGGGTGGCCAGGAGCCTGGGAATGGGAAACACGGCAGGCGGCAGGAGTGCCAGCACCGCCAGCTTGGGAGCACATCACGGAGGGGAGAGTGGTTTGATGGAGGGAGGAGGTAGAAGAAGGGCGGCGAAGCTAGATTTTCTTACAATTAGCTTGCGCAAGAAAAACATTAGAAGGATGATGATGGTGTGAAAATGGCCAAACCAAAGGTCTAACCCAGGTCCTCTCCGTGCCAGAGGCCAGTAGTTGATGCTTGCAGATGTGTCAAGGAGACCATGATTCCAGTCAGCTTTCTCTGGTTCCCAGCAATTGTCTCTTCAAGGATTGAGAGCTGGCGGCTGCCTCCGGACCACTGTGTCTAGCACCCACTGTTTTTACCATGTCTGTCTACCAGAAACTTGTCCGTCCTTTTCTGAATCTGCTCATGCTTTCAGTTTCTACAGCATCCTGCAGCAATGAGTTTTGCTATTTAATTATGCATTAATTATACTCTGCTTATTCATATGTTGTGTGAAGATGCAGGTCCTTTTGTTTCTTTTAAACCTACTGTTGGATCATCTTCTTGTTTCCAGTTCTTCTCCCTTGTGTTATTCTTGACTTGAGACCTCTGCCATACTCTTGCTTCATTGTGTCTCTTCCAGTGCAGCGTAACTTGTCAGAGGGCTGGCACAAAGGCACTTGTGGGCCCTGTGACTCTAGAATGGCATTGTCAAAGCTGTTTTTAACGCCGTATACACTATCCTGATCTTCCATTGCTTCTCGGGATGTTATGTGGTTAAAAGATGAGTGTTTTATGTCACCACTAAAGGTTTGTTTTATTCCTTGTGTTTTGAATGATATTTTATTAATTTTTAAAAAATACAATCTTCATACCCATCACAGAGCTGCCCCTTTCTCAGGACAGCTGTCCTGGCATATTTGACCATCTTTGATTCCTGTTCACAGAGGGCAGCATGTCTTTAGACACATTAATAGTGGTTGCTTTAGAAGTGACAGAAAACTGGTCCTAGTTTGACATCTTCCTGAAGTCCAGGAGAATTTTTATGAAAGGCAAGGATTGAGTGATGTGTGTGGAGGAATGCAACTTTCCTTCTCTGGGCATCATGAAACAGAGTTGACGGAGCCTTGGGGAGCACAGCATGACCATGCGGGGGGTGACATGGCTGTGTGCAGAGCTGGCCTTTTCCAGGCCCAGCCTTTATTGATCTGTAGGTACTCGT